AAAACAAAACATCTCACCATGTCACCTTTCATTTCAGCCTTCAAGATTTTCGCATAAATCTTATTTCTTTCATCGTCTGATATTGCTCCGCTTGAACCTGCCTGCGTCTCCGTTGTTTCTCTTGTATAAGCACCTCCACCTTCACAGCCGCTTGATACAAAATCCTAGAGTGGTACAGTAAGTTTTAGGGGTTACTTTCTAGTTCTTAACTTGGGAAATGCGGATTTGAGTGCAAAAAAAAAAAACGATGCGTGCTGATACAAGTTATTTTGAAACACAGCAACATGTATGACATTATTAGTCATTGATATTAATCTCCATCTCCCACATGGAGGTTTGCACTTTGCTTGACAATCACAATTGCAATACTATTGTTCGTACTTGAAACTTTGTGAAGACGCTACAACTTTCTAGTATAGCGCCAATAACAAAAATGGGATATGTGCCCCCATAAAATAGGCTGATAAGCCAAAATGCAAGAAAAATTATTTCCAAGAATTGTTATAAGTACAACAAAGCACTTCTACCAATAGAAGGAAATCACAGCCAGGTTAGATAATCATATAGTCAATTTTTAAAAAATTGAAATGTAATCACGTACCTTTCCTGTCATGGATAACTTCTGGGAGCACTTTGCTGAGAATGGTTTTGCTTTGACGACTTTGCGAGATTTAAGGTAGTCGTCATCGTCTGGTTTTCGAAACATGGTTTAGTGAAACCTGAGCAAGAAGTTTAAAATGGATAAATGGAAGAGAAAGTTCAAATAACAGACCGCTAAATGGAAGAGGAAGTTCAAATACCCCAAAACCGCAAGCAATCACTTTTAATCTGCAGGAGGAAAATAAGAAACGATTTGGAACAAATTTCGTCTCGAGTAAACCTTCGATATTACGCAACGTCCAAGAGAATATAAGAGAAAGTTTGTGAAGACGTGTTTATACGTTGACTGCGCGAATTCGCGCGCGGCAAAACAATTGTGCAGCCACTCGCGCTGGAAGCGAAAAATTCTCATCTGTACCTGCACCGTGGTGACACGATTCGCAAAAAGCCTTCTTACCTATTTCTCACTTACACTGAACCGCCATATTATTGGTCACCAATATCTAAAAGTCTCAGTCTT